AACCTGTTGGGGCAACCCTGATTTAAGCAAATAAACTCTTCATGGGCAAATCTCCTGGGGAGACATCGCAGCTAAGCGGACAAGGGCATATGTATGAATGTGGGGATGGATGTGTGTGATTGGTTTTGTATGAATGTGTCGGTGGGATTATGTGGTGTATGAGTTTGGTGGGGGGTGGTTTTAGCTCAGTGCCACTTGGGATTAGGGCCGCCAGCAAACAGCTTCCTGTCCTCCTGCTCCTGTTTGTCTCCCCTGCGGTTAGGTTGTCCCCAGATACTGCACCTCGGGCCCGGGCTCCTGCTCCTCAACCAGGCCTGTGTGCAGGCATCGCCAGGCCTGCATGCATTTACAATCTGGCCTGTGGTGGACGGTGGACAGTGAGCCGTACCTCCCCAATGGCGTGCGGCCGCCCAGTTGCCTTCAAGACCCCCTGCGGCAGGCGGGGCTGTGTCCAGGGCCCCAGTGGTGAGTAGGCCCATAAGGGCCACGTGTGGTACCACGGTACTGCCGTTGAGGACTTGGGGGAGGACCTTAGGTGGGTCGGGAGCCTCCTCTGGGGGTCTCTCCCCATTCCCCCCTTCTGTCTCTTCCCCCCTCCCTCCTTTCCCTTGTGTCTCCTCTGTTGTCTTCCAGGGGGTCCATCTTGCCTCTGGGGGGCCCCCCTTGTTTCCCTCCTGCTTCCTCTTGTCCTTCTGCTTCCTTCCCCCTCCCTGCTGGGTCCTTCTGTTCCCTCCCCTGTCTTTCTCCCTGCTCCTTCCAGGTCCACACTGCCCTCCAACCTCCCCCCTATTCTCTCTGGGTCCCCTCTCCCCCCTGCTGGTCACTTACCTCGGCTCCCTCCTGGCATGGAGTGGGGCCGGCCCCATTTTGTATTCCCCCATGTCTAATTTGCGGGTTTCTCCTTTAGGCGTGGTGCACAAGAAAGAACAGGGGAAATATTGCCTGATTCATCATTTGTCGTACCCTCCTGGGGGATCGGTGAATGATGACTTTAGGTTGCCGAACTCTGCCTTCGACGCGGCGGTTCGCATGGTATGGGCTGCGGGCCCGGGGGCCTTACTGGCAAAGGCGGATGTGGAATTGGCTTCCAGTGCACCCAGATTGTCACCATCTCCTGGGTTGTACCTTTGACGGTCAATTTTATGTGGATATGTGCCTCCCTGTGGGTTGCTCTCTATCTTGTTTTTATTTTGAGTGCTTTAGCACTTTCCTGGAGTGGGTGGTGTGATGGGAAGCGGGGGTCGACTCCCTTCTGCATTACCTCGACGACTTCTTGTGTGTGGGGCCGGCGAAGTTGCATGTCTGTGCTATGCTGCTGCTGTGGGTTATTTGGGACATGTTTCAGCGTTTTGGTGTTCCATTGGCACATGAGAAAATCATGGGTCCGGTTACGTGCCTTAGTTTCCTGGTCATCGAGATCGATTTCAGTGGCTGGGGAATATCGATTTCCCCTGACTAAGGTTCGAGACCTCCAGTAGGAGGTGTCAATGGCTTTGGGGCGACGTAAGATTGGTGGGGATGGATGCGTGTGATTGGTTGTGTATGAATGTGTGGGTGGGATTATGTGGTGTGTGAGTTTGGTGGGGGGTGGTCCTACCTCAGTGCCACTTGGGATTCGGGCCAGCAAAAAGCTTCCCTCCCACACACCCCATAGGTTTATTTAGTCGCAGCTAGCCGGGGGTATGTCCTTGCCAATTAAGTTTGAGGTGGTTGGGTTAACATGTGGAATGAAGTGATCAAGTTTCAGGTCTCAACCTCCCCTGCTCGAACCTTAGGTTACCTGTTTTGACGTGCCCATCGAGCGAGGAAAAGGTCGGCTCTTGGTAAGCATTGGAAGGAAAAGGAATTTATGCCGAGGGGGGAGGTAAGAGGAAGTGGTACATAGGCTCATGGTTAAATTATATTGGCAAGGATGCTTGGGTTATACTGTATGACACTGTGTTAAGTTATATGCTAAGTTATGGTTATTTATGTTTGACGTTTGGGTTATATCAAAGAAAGGAGAATATTAAAATAAATTATGGATGTGTTATGCAGTATTTGTCATATGTTATAATAAATGCTGTGGCCTGTTTTATCCATACTACGTTGTCTGTTCTTATTTGGGTGGTGAATTGGGATAGTTTTATGTTACTATGCTGCATCACGATTCCCCACTGCGTACATATATGTATTGAATATAAATTTATGGAAAATACTGTGAATTTGCTATTTTCCTTCATGCTGATAGAGGAGCTTTTGTTATAGGTGGCCTGACAAGTCTATATAATATCAATGTCTGGTTATGGAAATACAATAATACATCCAGTGTCCAATTCCTGCGGCGTCACAGCTGGTGCTATCTGCCATCACTACCCCTGGCTCCCTTCAAGCTGTGCTGGTTTTGCAAAAATATTTACTGTTGTGGCTTTATCTCCATTTCAAAACTGTTAGCAGTTTACAATATCTATCTTCTGGGATTAATGCTTTTCACAATAGGGAGCACAGCACGAAATAAATACTTAAATTCACAATGATCACCAAAGGCATCAAATTAACCCTTTGTCTTCACATGAAAATAGAGGAATATCTGATTAAACATTTGAAAATTGCTGGACTCAGGTGAGTGTTGGTTTCTACTAAGCATAAAACAGAGAGGTCCTAATAGTTTTCTAGTAAAATAAAAATTCAGCATTTAAAAGCCTTCTCAAATAACAAACATGTGATACTCGAAAAATTAGAATATCGTGCAAAAGTTCATTTATTTCAGTAATGCAACGTAAAAGGGGAAACTAATATGAGATAGGCACATTACATGCAAAGCAAGATAGTTCAAGCCATGATTTGTCATAAGTGCGATGATTATGTCTTACAGCTCATGAAAACCCCAAATCCACAATCTCAGTAAATTAGAATATTACATGCAATCAATAAAACAAGGAGTGTACATATAACAATATCGGAACTCTGAAAAGTATAAGCATGCATATGGTCTCAGTACTTGGTTTGGGCCCCTTTTGCAGCAATTACTGCCTCAATGCGGTGTGGCAAGGAAGCTATCAGCCTCTGGCACTGCTGAGGTGTTATGGAAGACCAGGATGCTTGTTCGGTCTCATGTCTCTCATCTTTCTCTTGGCAATGCCCCATAGATTCCCTATGGGGTTCAGGTCAGGCGAGTTTGCTGGACAATCAAGCACTGTAATCCCACGGTCATTGAACCAGGCTTTGCTGTTTTTGGCTGTGTGGGCAGATGCCATTTTCCTGCTGGAAAATGAAGTCAGCATCCCCATAAAGCTCGTCTGCAGAAGGAAGCATGAAGTGCTCCAAAATCTCCTGGTAGACGGCTGCGTTTACCCTTGACTTAATGAAGCCCAGTGGACCAACACCAGCAGATGACATGGCTCCCCAAATCAACACAGAATGTGGAAACTTCACACTGGACTTCAACCATCTTGCAGTGTGTGCCTCTCCATTCTTCCTGCAGACTCCTTGGTTTCCAAATGAGATGCAAAAGTTGCTCTCATCAGAGAAGAGGACTTTGGACCACTGAGCAACAGACCAGGTCTGTTTTTCTTTAGCCCAGGTAAGATGCTTCTGACGTTGTTTGTTGTTCAGGAGCGGCTTGGCATGAGGAATACGACACCTGAAGCCCATGTACAGGATCCGTCTGTGTGTGGTGGCTCTTGATGCACTGACTCCAGCCTCAGTCCACTCCTTGTGAAAGTCCCCAACACATTTGAATGGCCTTTTCCTGACAATATTCTCTGGGCTGCGGTCATCCCTGCTGCTTGTGCACCTTTTTCTTCCACACTTTTCCCTTCCACATAACTTTCTATTAATGTGCTTTGATACAGCACTTTGAGAACATCCATCTTCCTTCGCAATTACATTTTTGAGGCTTTCCCTCCTTATGGAGGGTGTCAATGATGGTTTTCTGCACAACTGTCAGGTCAGCAGTCTTCCCCATGATTGTGATTCCTACTGAACCAGACTGAGAGATCATTTAAAGGCTCAGAAACCCTTTGCATGCTTACTTAACTGATTAGAGTGGGATACTGTGAGCATAGAATATTGCACCTTTTCACAATATTCTAATTTATTGAGATTGTGGATTTAGGGTTTTCATGAGCTGTAAGCCATAATCATCGCACTTATGACAAATCACGGCTTGAACTATCTTGCTTTGCAATTAATGCGTCTATCTCATATATTAGTGTCCCCTTTTACGTTGCATTACGGAAATAAATGAACTTTTGCACGATATTCTAATTTTTCAAGTATCACGTGTAAACTGTGTAGGTTCAGCAAAACATCATCAAAGTTTTATTTGTACAACAACTGAATGACAGAAAACCAAGAAATACTGCCAAGTACAAAACACTATTGCACAATCCACAAATGTACAAATACATTAAAGGGACACTATAGTCACCAAAACAACTTTGAGGGTGGGGGCATCCTTGGGACACTATAGTGTCAGGAAAACCGCTTTGTTTTCCTGGCACTATAGTGATCCTTTAACTCCTAAATGGCAGTGAATTGAGCAGTAAAACCTGCGAAGCATGCTCTATACACTAAAACTGCTTCATAAAGTTGTTTA